GATGGGTTCCTCCTGTTCCTTCTTTTGCTGTTTCTACATGCCGAGCAAGTCGCGCTGCCTTGTCGGCAAGGGCGCTTTGCAGCGACAGGGGCCAGGACCGGTACTGGCATTCCCGGAAGTTAATTACTTCTGGGTTCACCGACCAACCGGTCCACAAGACCCGGCAACGACCAGTAGGAACCCATCCCTGAGGAGATCATATATTCAATCCATCAGAATAGAACTGAAGGGACCAGAATAGAACTGAGAGGTTTTCTAGTCCATTTATTTTAGTAATAAATGGCATCCAAGTCAAGATGAGGTGGCAGTGTTGTGACATAGCGTGGGGATCTATATTGGGTCATAGATTTCCACCTATGGATAGAAGTTTCTACAGATAAATATCCCGTATAAGATTAGAGGATAATAACTTGGAAATATAAAATGTGTGCCTTTTATTGCTACATAGGCAATGTAGAAGTGCATATGAGTGTGAAGTGGAGTGTTTTAAATTGCTGATTAAAAACAAAATAATGAAAGGGGTATGAAAATGACTGCAGACACCAGTGCTGAAAAGTGCAGATTCCTTAGCAGACAAAATTTGCAAGAATTTGCCAGTTGAATTTTAACCCTTTTATTAGGCCTAGATAGTGCCAAATTCATTTATTTCCTTGTCATTTCTCCCCCTTTGTTTATATTTCCCCAATTCAGTTTTTCCTTCTTCATGCTTCACCTTCACTTCACCCTGATTTTTTTTCTCCTTTGCTGTTTCTGTGGAAGAAAGGAGAGAAGGAAGGAAGGAGTGTATGCATATACTTATGGAAACAGATTGCAAGTAGTCCTTAACTTAGGATACCAACTGATCACTTTGATTAGGATATGGAGCAGTCAGTGTTGTTGTTTGCATGCCTTCATCTTGTCTATAAAGGCAACAGATCCTCTTCTTTGTTATAAGGTATATCGGGTGGGTTCCTCCCGGTTCGCACCAGTTCGCACGAACTGGTTCGTCGGTGAACCCGGAAGTAATTAACTTCCGGGAACGCCAGTACTGGTCCTGGCCCCTGTTGCTGCAAAGCGCCCTTTTGCCGGCGTGTCGCAGCTCACTTGCTCATTCCCCCGCCCATCCGCAGCTCGCTCCCTTGCTCCCCCGCCTGTCCGCACTAAGCCCAGCCTGCTTCTCACTGATTGGCTGGAGTCCACCAATCAGTGAGCGGGCTGGAGGCGAAGCGAAGCTTTTTTCGCACTTGACCTCCATTTGAAAATT